GAATTTTGGGAAATTTTGGGAATTTTTTGGGATTTCAGGAATTTTGGGAGATGATTTGGGGTTTTATTTGGGGCTTTTTGGGGGTGATTTGGGGTTTTTTGGGAGCTTCGTCCTTCGGGCCATGATGGAGCTGCTGGGGGGACCCCAAAGAGGTAAAATTTGGGGAATTTTGGGAAAAATTGGGAAAATTGGGAATTTTTGGGAAAATTTGGGAATTTTTGGGGGGGAAAATTGCAAATTTTGGGGAGTTTTTTGATGGAATTTGGGATTTTTTGGGCTCAATTTGGGGGGGGATTTGGGGTTTTTTGAGGTCGATTTTGGGGAAAATTTGGGGGTTTGAGATCAATTTTGTGGGATTTTGGGAGAATTTGGGGGTTTTTGGGATGAATTTTGGAGGATTTTTGTGTTTTCTGGGATCAATTTTAGGGGATTTTGGGTTTTTTGGGATCAATTTTGGGGGATTTTGGAATTTTTTTGGGGTCAGTTTTGGGGGATTTTTGAGTTGGGATCAATTTTGGGATTTGGGGGTTTTTTAGGATCAATTTCAGGGAATTTTGGGGGTTTTTAGGATCAATTTTGGGGGATTTTGTGGTTTTTTGGGGTCAATTTCAGGATTTGGGGATTTTTTGGGGTCAATTTTGTCAGATTTTGGGACTTTTGGGCTCAATTTTTGGGGATTTTGGGGTTTTTTGGGGTCAATTTTGGGGGATTTGGTGTTTTTTTGGGGATCAATTTTGGTATTTTTGGGTTTTTTGGGATCAATTTTGGGGGTTTTTGGGATCAATTTTGGGATTTTGGGATTTTTTAGGATCAATTTTGGGATTTGGGGTTTTTTTGGGATCAATTTTGGGTTTTTTGGGGTCAATTTTGGGGGATTTTGGGATTTTTCCCCCAAATTTCTTTCCCCTCCCCAGACCCTTCCAAGGAGGCGGAGCTGAAGCTGAGATGGGCGGGGCTAAAGAGGAAAGGGGCGGAGTCCAAACCGGAAGTGACGTGGCCGGAAGGGGCGGAGCCTCTGCCGTGGTTCCGCCCCCTCCTGGAGGAGATCGCCCTTGGATTGGAGGAGGAGCTGCCCTGTGAGAGCCC